ATCAGAAAAGCAGAAAACTCACCAAAACACCTTAGATCGCATCGATAACTTTTCCTGAAACCAAAAATCAAACCGCATCGCAAAGCCACACTCAAACAACGAAAAAAAAAATTGAAATGAGACACGGCAAGAACTGCAAAAAAACTCACCAGAGATCGTTAGTTTTCCGAGAAGAAAACGGCCGTGAATAATCGACGAGACAAAGACGTGAAGGACGGATAGCGAAAACAACGAAGGCGTGGGAGAGAGAAAAAACCTAGGCTCCAAAATAAGGAAAAGCTGAAAATGGTGAGAGAGAGAGAGAGAAGGGAACCCAAAGAAAAGGCGGAGTAGAAATGGAGTGGAAGAACCACCAATGACAGACGCGTGGTGTTCAAAGGCAGAATCGTCAATGTACTGTAGAAAAGCTAAAAGATACTGCTGATGGGAAAAATTTGGAAGGCATTTCCGTCATTTTACTGTTCACGAACAGTGAAAAACAGTGCACCCAAGTTTGGGTTTTAGTATATGTATAATATGTTAGTCGTTTGACATTACTGGTCAAGACTCGATACACTTGGCGCTCAACCATATTTTTGAACAAAAAATGCATTTCAATCATTTTTGAAACAAACTCTAGAACAATTTGGGTCTTTTACGACTTGAAATATATGGCGTACAGTACTAGCATGCCTTAAATGATATTATTCACGACATTCATAAAGTTCATGTTGTAATACTTGCACATAATCTAGCATTCACGGCATCACTTTTGTGCAAGTCGAATAAAAATATTTATGGCGTAACCGTTGTGTGTCGTATTTGACAATTTACACGACACACTTTCCTTCTCTTTTAAAGCATTTCGTTATGTCGTAAATTGAATTTTTTATATATTTGGGTCCCTACTTTTTATGGCACGAATGGTACGTCGTAAATAATAGTTTCTAGCTTCACGCCTAAACTTTCCCACTCTGCACCTAACAAAAAATACGCAGGAAATTATAGCACCAGAATGAAATATCAAACAAGTGAAATTCTAGACCATTCCACTTCACCTTCCCCTTTCTTTCTCTCTGCCCTTCAGATTGCTCGTTTCTTTCACACCACCGTGACCCAACAGGATACCCAAATTTATTTACCCAAACAACTAACCCCTCTCTCCATCGCTTTGTCGCGGTCCATGGCCTGATCTCCACGTCGCTTGTTGTCCACCACCGAAAATTCAAGAACCGGAGAGATCCATTCCACCAAAACTCAAATCGACACTAAATCTTCCTCTCTCAAACACACGAGACTGCCGTTTTTTCTCCCAATGTTCTAAGGTTGAATTTTTTTTTTTCAAATTTTTATTTTATTTTTATATAAATTTGGTTTTGAATTTACAAGTACTTTTCTCCAGTAGCCCCTCCACCTGCACATTCGCACTCCGCAGCCTCCAATTTGGGTTTGATTTTGCTAAATCTATATGTATTTGTGCATGGCTTTATTATTCTGTGATTGGGGATTCTTTAACTTGATTATTATTAAATATGGAGGATTTTTTTTAATCAGTTTTCTATTTGCCTTTTATTTTTCAGTATTTTTCTTTTTGCTGTGAATTTGTAGGATGAAATTATTTTTCTGGGATGCTTCTGTTTTTCTTGCTATTTAAAGGTAAAATCTTTTTGGCTTGTTGCTTATACAAGTTAATAAGAAAGGAAGGTTTAGTAATTTTAGGCTTCGTAAATGCTTTGAAATTGAACCATACATAATTGTTTAAGCTACCACTTTATACTCTGCAGTCAATTCCAAGAGCTATCATTTATGTTTTATGGAGAAGCAATTTTATTGTGTGAGGTTCTCTTTGAATCCAGAGCAGTGAGTGCTCTGTACTTGAGTAGTTTTAAAAATTAAAAATATAAGCTACTGTTTATTGGATATTAGGATATTAATGCTCTCAATTGTAATGTTTATCTTTTAGTTGCTCTGCATTGTAATCCTACACGTCCTGGAGGCTTATCTCCTCATGTTGCTTTTGTATACCAATACTTGTATCACTCATATGAAAATCAATGAATTGATCGGTTTTTACTAATGATGGAACTTGTGCTTATTGGTTATATTTGGTTTTTGGGATCACTATCTAATCCATGGTTTGTAATACAATTCAATATTTTTTGTCTTTTTTGTGTTTTTGGGCTTCAACATTTGGATCTTTCTAAATGTTTGGTTAATTCATTTTTTTATATTAATTTTCAATTACAAGTTGGTACTTGGTTGCTTGACTTCTAACCCTTTTTGTAGATTTTCTGGTTTAAAGTTTCAATGTATATTTCATGTATGTTTGTACAAGAGTGAGTCTGGGTATATATGAGAAGAGAGAGGGAAAAGAGATGGGAAGGATGGTTGCAGCAAGCAGCCGACAAGAAAGAATAAGGCATGTTACCTACCTAAGACATTACCCCAATCAGTCTCCTCCCTTAAATCAAGGGAAAGGTGATTTACATACCCTTACCCTAAAGATTACAATGAGCCTTACCCTAGAGATTTACCCTAGGGGTCACCTTGGTAGTAGACTCCATATGCATAAATTTTTCTAACCAACAAATTGAACGAATTTTGTTGCCCGAATTTTGACTTGGGCAGTTCAATTCAGCATTAAATTGAACAAAAAAATTCTGGAGGAAATTGAACAAAAAAGGGGAGAGATGAGGATGGAAGACGAACCTGCTTGAGAAGGCGGATGATTTGGAGGTGGAAGGTGGTTTCGTTGACAACCTCACTGAAGCACGTGACTTGCACGCCACCGTCATCGCCGTCGTCGTCGTTGATGTAGCTCGGACTAGTCGATTCTTTGTGTTCTGAAATTTGAGCGGAGCTAAATGCACCGTTGGGAGCGCCGAGGTCTAAACCACTACGCGCCATTGCTCACGGAAACGAGCAAAGTGAGACTGAGAAAGTCACAAGGCGGTTATAGATGGGCAAAGTGGGTTTTTCGCTTTTTACATTTAAGGGTAAAAGTGTGTCATCATCATATTTTATATATAGGGTGATTTTGTATAAAATCAATTAAAAGTTATGATATTAACAATAGGTCAATCAAATTTATTAGAATTATAAATAAGTCAATGATTTTAAGATATATTAAAACACCTCAATTAAATTAAAATTACAAATGATGTCATTACCATTTAAAACACTAAAAGTTTCCATCTCCTTCATTGTAAATCGCGCGTCCCACCACCTTCAACCTCCCCTGCCTCCCACCACCTTCAACCTTCATTTTTCAAACACTGCAACGCAATGTCTGTTTCCTATTCTGTGATTGTGCATTCGGATTCAAATAGGTTTGTGGATTCAGATTCCTATTCTGTGATTGTGCATTCGGATTCAAATAGGTTTGTGGATTCAGACACTTTGTTGCAATGTCTGTTTCCTATTCTGTGATTGTGCATTCAGATTTAAATAGGTTTGTGGATTCAAACATTGCAACGCATTGTCTGTTTCTAGTTCTATGGATTCAGACACTTCGTTGCAGTGTCTGTTTCCTATTATGTGATTTCAAATAGGTTTGTGGATTTAGACATTGCAACGCAGTGTTTGTTTCTTGTTATGTGAATTCAGACACTTCGTTGCAGTGTCTATGTCATGTTGTGCTTTTACGTTAATGTACTTTTACGGCGTCGGAGTCTCAATCTTCGCCACCAAGTTTCCCGGCGTATTTGCTACCATGTGCCTCACTCCTTTTGACGCCCAGAACGCCTGATCCATCAATAACTCCAACGTCCTTGCCGTCTCAAGCATGTCCACGTCACCCGACTCTGTCATCGAGATCCTCGACACCTGGCTTAACACCCCCTTTAAATCCCCATGCTTCGCCTCTAATTCCAAACCCTGGCCGCCTAAAATAAAGCCTTTCCTCGACAATTCAATCTAAGAAATTCGAAATTCAACCCCTAATTCAATTTTTGCAATTTTTTCAAAAAAAAAAGAAGAAAACTTAAAAGAGAGAGAGGGGGGACCTATGGGCAAAGTAGACATCGCGGCAGAAGAAGATGTGGGGAGAACAGTCAATGAGGTGTCAGATGCGGTTGACGAGCAACTGGTCGATTCTCTAGCAGCCAAACTGGTCGATGAGCTTGTTGTAGTCGATTTTCCCGCCACCTTTGGCCGACACCATCCATGGATTCATTACCTGCTCTTCCTCTTCCTTCTGTTCTGGTTCTGCCTCTCCCTCTCTTTTCTCCATCGTCACTCTCTCTCTTTCTCTCCATCGTTCGCTCGTTGTATGTAAAAATCGGCGGCATCTTCTTCTTCCTTTCTTTTTCTTCGGAGGGTATTTTGGTGTTTTCATGGATTTTATAATGACCTAAAGCCTATGTGGCATTCATCATTGACCTATGCCTAATTAATAAAAATATATCATTGATTAAGTCTAAAATAAAAATATGTCATAGATATATGGCTTAAGTAAAGTTTATATTGACCTTGGGCTAAATTACCTCTATATATATGCCAGGAAAAACTTGCAATGCAACTTCGTCATTTGATTCTTTATTTTTATTTATCCAACACAAGTGAGAGATGAAAAGTAGCGTGTAAGAGAAAAATAAGGATGTGAAAATTAATTCCGTAAAGTTGTAAAGTAATAAATATGAAAAAATTAAAACACATTCATTCAGAACTAGATGATGACATTTCAAATTCTCTAATATCTATTGAACAATAACAAGTCATAAAATCGAACATCCTAGATTCAAATTAACAAACACATGGATCTTAGACTTTCTCTTAGCCCAATCCATCCCCTCCCCTCATAGTAGACTATCGACATCCCCTTACATGTAGAATATCGTTGTTTAAAAATAAAAATTACTCACTTCCTCATTCCTCAAAGATCTGTATAATTTTTGTGACAAATATTTTCTTTTGCTTATTACCTCTTACTTGTTTAAACTTGAAATAAGGGGCAGAAAACGGAGGGATAGGAAGGAAAGCAATGCGACCATTTACTTTCAAAACAGAACACAATGTAACCATCATCACAAATAAGTCACAATAGTTGAAAAGATTGGAAAACTGAAGAAATTATGCGGCTCATCTTGCCAGGATAAACTCAATTCACACTTTTTGCCTTTTTGGCCAAATCATAACACACACTTCGAGGGTTGAAAAATAATACAAAGAACCAAGAAACTCTTAAGCTTCATCCACGATGCACTCAATTGCTTGCTTGCAAATTCCGGTCATTGTTGCCTCAGGGCCATAAACCTGCATTGAGAAACGACGTCAGGCTGGCAGCCCGTAACTTATAATCTATTTGTGTTTTACATCACCCTTTTAATGTTCTTCAAGAGTAAGGCTTGTTAACAACTGATATCAAATGTCAAAACCAGAAAGTCCTCGCATACCTCAAGAGGAACTCCGAGTTCTTCCCCCAAAGCACGCATCTTTGCCAAACCAGTTTGATAATTTGGACCGCCCCTTCTCACAAATATATGCATTCTTGCCGCTTTTAGCTTGGATTCCTTTGATGTCGCAAAAGAGAAACAGTTTGAGCATAAAAAACAAAATAAACCAACTAGGCCAATCTATCTATATGATATGAATGTCAAAATGTGGTGGTACCTTCTCCCTTAGGGCCCTAATAATTCCACTGAATGTAGCAGCTACGTCTGTGAAATTAGCTATACCACCTCCAATTATTAGAGCTCTTTTACGACCATCTGGATCAGCTGTTGCACACTGCAATATATGAGATTTTTATTGGCAGTTAGTGTATGCTACATGTAATGGTTGCAACTTGAGTAGTCAGACGAAGTACATACGAGTGGAAGTGTGTGTGTGTGAGCAAGAGAGAAGAAAGAGGTTTTCGTAAGAGAAGAAAGAGGTTTTCTTAAGATAAGAAAAGCTTCTTACATCGACCACAACTCTTGCATATTGCAACACCTCTTCCTCATTTGGAGCTCCACTATACTCTGCATAATTTCCAAGTTCTGAAGCATAACCCAAATCTCCAACCTAATTCCCATAAATATGCCAGAATATTACAACAGGCCATGGTAGGAATTTAAAGGTTCCCAACGTTCAAAGAAACAGAGGGGAGAAATAGCAAACGGTGCACATTCAATCAGAAACGATGAATTAAAGCCAAAAATGGAGACCCAAAATTTTGAAAGAAAAAGACATCCTTGAAACATTCAGAAAAGTACAAGTCAATATTCCACTCTTAGATGCCATCAAACAAATCCCGAAGTACGCTAAGTTTTTAAAGAAGCTTTGCACAACAAGGAACCGGATTTGGGAGAAAGAGGTGGTACATGTGAATGAGAATGTCTCTGCAATGTTGCAAAGGAAGCTGCCACCCAAATGCAAAGATCCAATTAGTTTCACTATCCCTTGTGTTATTGAAAATACGAGGTTTGAACATGCTATGCTAGATCTAGGTGCATCAATTAATGTCATGCCATATTCTGTTTATGCATCTATGAATCTAGGAGAGCTTAAACATGATGGTGTTGTTATTCAACTAGCCAATCGATCTAATGCCTACCCGAAAGGAGTTTTGGAGGATGTTTTGGTGCAGGTAGACCATTTGATTTTTCCTGCAGATTTCTATGTGCTTGACATGGAGGATGCAGCCCACTCTCCACCACCATCAATCTTACTTGGATGACCTTTCATGAAAACAGCTCAAACTAAGATTGATGTGGCCAAGGGAGCATTAACAATGGCATTTGGTGGTGATATGATTCACTTTAAAATTCCTGAATCTAATGTGAATCTTACTAATGTTCGTTCTTGTTTTACCATTGATGTAGTTGAAAACATAGGACAAGAACCTTCAACACCAACCAAGAAGGATGAATTTCCAACCACCAACGAAGAGGAAATTGGAGTGGAGCACAAAGAACATACCACTAACCTCCAAATGCATAATCTGGCCGAAAGCACATTTGGAAAATCTGTTTACAGTGCTGTCACTTCATTGCAACACATTGGTAAACCACCTATTCCAATTTCAATTCCCATTTCAACTAATAGGTTGTTACCTTGTATGGTGCAGGTCCCCAATCGAATCCAAGCTGGTGGGAATGATTACATTGACCTAAGGATGCTCAACGCCCCAATCGGGAAGGATTACTATCCCCTTCCATTCATAGAGCCAATGTATGAGTATTTTGAGGAGCATGCCGTAGAGGACATACCACTCCATGTCGTGGGCCTTATTCAAGCTTAAATGGAAGTTTCGTCCGGCTAGAAGACGTTAAAGCAAGCGCTTCTTGGGAGGTAACCCATGTATTAAAAAAAAAGGAAGATCTTTGAATCGCTCCACAATCAATTTTGCGTTTCTAAAAACCTTCCCTTTTCTGCATTTTTATTTTGCCATGATTGTCATTTTTATTTGTTGCTTGTTTAATTGTTTTTGGTGTGGGTTTATTTTTTAAACATTGATAGATATGCAAGGTACTTTTACATTAAAATTCGTGAAAATGAACAGGAGGCAGAAAAATACAAGAGATAGCCTTCACAAAGGCTGCTTAGGAGAAGTCTCAGTAGTCGGCAGAGCCTCAGCAGTCGGCAGAGCCACAGAAGGATGAGGTATCGGAGGTTGATCATTTGGAGCTTCACTACACGGTACAGCCCCAGAAGACGAAGGCAAATGTTGTTGGAACAAACCCACAAACCTCTGATGATCAAGTAAAATCTGACCATCAGATTCCTGCATCTGGTCAATCTTCCTCTTCATGTTTGTAGCATAGTTGTGTGCAAGCATGTGCAACTATTTATTCTCATGCTTGAGCCCTCTAATCTCCTGTTTGAGACTCATCACTTCAGCCGCCAATTATTCAACTTGACGGGTTCAAGCAAATAGACGTTGGGCCATATTGGACACAGAACCTGCACACTGCACACTGAGAGCCAGAGAATCCTTAACAGCCAACTCATCAGATCATTTGGAAAGTAGTCTGTTATCTTTAGGAGTGACAAGGTTCCGGGCCACCACCGCAGCAGTCATATCATTTTTCATCACCGAATCCCTAACAGTAAGAGGACCAGTAAGGGATATGAAGGATGGGCGCCATATGTTGTCTGGAGAAGGCATGGATGCCTCTTCACCAAGGTTCAAGTCAAAACGACAGTCGGAGGGGCCAGACATTTTCAAAGGTGTTGAAGAAAGAAGAGGTCGGACAAATCGAGATCTTAGAAGTGCAATGAAGGGAGTTTCTACTGGTAGAAATTTAAGTGTGCTTTGAAACGAACTGCACGCCTCTATAAAAATCAGCACTCGATGGGATTTCAGAGATCGAAAAGGCTAGCTCAGAAATCGAAGAGGCAAGCTCAGAAATCGAATAGGCCAATTCAAAAATCGAAGTGGCGCTAGCTTTCTCAAAAGCTGGGCTTGCTCAGAAACCACGGGCCAATCTTCTTTTCCAAATTTGTCCACACTTGTCACATGCAACCTCTGCACTCGACGGAGCTCAGAACTCAAAGAGGCGAGCTCAGAACTCGAAGAGGCAAGCTCAGAAATCGGAGAGGCATCTGCTTTTCCAGACGTGTCAGCATCTGTCACATGCACACTCATCTTTGCGGAAATAACGGGCAGTTTGTCGAAGCACCGATTCCAAATATCGAAGAGGCACTTGCTTTTTCAGACGTGTCAACGCCTGTCACATGCACACTTAGCCTTGCGAAAATTACGAGCAATCTGTCGAAGATTTCTTGTGAAGTAGAAGGCACGTGAAGTTTACTGCTAAATCATCCAACGGTTGCCGACAAGAGTGAAAGAATAGTACCGGTTATTAATTCCTATAAATGTCAACCTTCACCCTCCATTGCAAGGCAGACATACATAACCTTTCTTCATCTCCGAGTATGCCTTCCCAACGAAACCTCTCGAGTCACTCAGTGTTCCTTATTCCTTGGGGTACCTCTGCAAACAACTCATCCAAAGCAAAAGTATTTCATATCATGAAGGTTGAAAGCAAGAGTATCTCATATCATGCTTTCTCCCTATCCTTCTCTTTGTCGTTGTGTTCATCTGCGGGACAAGGAGAAAGAGAGCAATCAGCCAGCACTTGGTATCAATTTTCCGATCTGGAACCGACTACCTGGAACCCCTTCCTGATTGCTTACCTAGCCTTACTCTCGAGTACTCATCTTCAACATCTTATGCTTCCTCTTCGTCTACCACATCTGCCTGGAGAATAGATAAGGGAAGTGAAAATGATACCTCGAAGCATGTGGAGACAATGTGCTAATTCATCCTCAGCTAGGGACAAGGAGAAAGAAAGCAAATGGAGGGCACTTGGAAAGATTGAAGAAAGAAACAGACCATCACCTATACCTCGTGCCTGCATGCCGTGCAGAAGAAACAAGCAGAGAAGAATGCAGACTGCACAACCAAGGAACTCTAATATTCCTCACTCAGAATTCCAAACCAGTTCGAGATCAAAGTTGTGGAAAGTCAACAAGATCATCTATCTCCAAAACCAGATTTGCGTTCTTAAACTCTACTCTGTCTGGTTTTTACTTCGCTATACTTGTCATGTTTATTCGTTGTTTATTTGTTTGCTTGTTTTTGTGTGAGTTTATGCTTGAAACATTGAAGACAATGTTTGATTTAAGTGTGGGGGTAACCAAGTTGTTTTGCATAAAATTCGTAGGAGTTTATCACTCATTACTTCTAGTGTTGTTCCTTGCTGTTTGTAAGTATTTTTAAGCTGTTTTTGAGTGTTTTAGTATGTTTTGACATAAAAATCCGAAAATCTCATAAAAATTTGAAAAATTGTTTTGAAAAACCCAAAAAGAGTTGTTTTTGTGTGTTTATTTGTGTCTTAGGGTACCTTCCAACACAATGATGAGGATTTGGTTTTTAATTACATGACTGTTAAAGAGAGTTGCAAACATGGATGAAAATTTGATTTACTCTCTAGTGTATGCTTGGTTGTGGTTATAATTTATGAATTTACATGCAATCATAAAGGAAAAATCAGTTTTTGTAACATGCTTGAAGGAAGGAACTCAAATGAACGCCATAACCTTGTGAGACTTGAGCCTAAACGTTTATTTGGAGAGTTAATAATCTGTGCATCATTGTTTTCTAAAGTCGTTGCATGATCTCATTATTCTTTGCTTGGTTGCTACTTAGAAGGCGTTTCATCATTTAGTTCCAGATGCTAGAACTCATGCCTATTTCATTCAAAGCATGCTATTGATTTGCATAACACATATTCAAGATGAAATTGTGTAGTGACCACCAAAGCCAAATTGTCATGCCACTATTTCATTATGTGTTTAAGTTTAACCCCGTTGAGCCTTGTTAAGCCTATGTTCTTTGTTAATCCACACTATCCTTACCTAGCCTAGTTTTAGGACCATCCATACCCTTGTTCTTGAAGCATAGTAAAGCATGACTTAAAATGAACTCCTTTTTTATCAATGTATTCCAAAACATTGAATTCGGCCCTAAGTGTTGCATGAATCTTCCCTTTGTATTTAAAAGTTGATTCTGCATTTGAAAGTGAATTCCAAGTGTCTATTTCATTGCTTTGCTTGCTATCGCTTTAAGAACGTTTGTTATTCCTATCCTTTCTTTATTAGCCATTACCTTCAAGCCCTGTTACAACCCTTGACTTCAATCTTGAGTGTTGTGTGTTTCAATTTGTGGAGTTCGAAATTGGTATGAGCATATGGTGTCACTGGTTCTCGCATCTAAGTAGTAGCATTCCATTCATGAGATCATATCTAAACATGCTTAATAACTCCAGAAAATTGCTTTCTTTGTTATAACATATGTGAGTCCTAGTCTTTCATGTTTACATTAATCTTCTCACATATACTAGTGTAGGGTGTGTAGTCAGAAAATGTGTGTGAAAATAGAGAGTATCTTGTAAGAAATTGAGCAAATTCTCTAAGGCATGTTATTACATTCAAAACATCGTTTTAATTGGTTAGTTGTGAACTAGTAAGTGGTGATCGTGATTAAGTATGTGCTCAAGTGTAAAGATGACCAAAAACTGTGGGAATGATGATTTTTAACATGTCATGTTTCATTAAAAATCCCTGAGGCAAATGT